TGTGTTAAGAAAAAAATAATTGAATTAGTGAACATGACTCGAATTAGCATTGTGATAAGTCAGAAATAAAACCGAAAAATTTGAATAATTGAACAAAACCTGAATCCGTTCTGTGTTGAATTAAAGTTACAAAGACGATAAAGAATTGAAGAATATCTTAATAACGGACGATAAAGAAAATAATCAAACGACGTGATGAATGAACTGATAAGTGGATATATCAACGATAATAATAAAGAAGTGACGAACAAAATATCGAACGAATTAACTAGTGGGTAAATGATGAAAAACTTGGAATAAAGTGTTAGTAGATAAAGATAAAGAAAGTAAACGAACAAGCGAATTACTAAATTAAACGAATAAACAAACGTATCAAGTATTGATAAGAATATGAAATGTGGAACTATAACCCTCATTTAGAAAATGCTCAGCAAGCTCTCTCACTAAACCTGGACTATCAGCTTAACGATTACTTCAGACCATAGCAAATACGTTGGCACAATCCAAAGAACCTCAAGTAGTACTTGGCAAAATAGACTTGGTAGAAATTCCAACATTTAATAGGGAAAATCAAAACCCTGTCAAATAGTTAAGGTTGACTAAACAAGTATTGGAAGCAAACAATATCCAAGGGACAAGAAAGCTTATAGTTGGAAGTGCCCATCTGTTTGGTCCTGCTGCGTTGTGGTGGGCAAGCCAAATGACTACTGTATAAATCCGAAATAACGTTCATGTGCGTTATTTTGAAAATCAGGTCGTTCAAACCATCCCGAATTAACGCGCATCTTCTATAAAAAATAAAAAATACTCCAAATTGGATTTGATACTAAATAAACTGGACTATTTTGATTATTTACCATTGTTAGAATCATTTCAGTATGAAAAACAACTTTTGTTAGAGCATTAAAGCAGGTTTGCTTAGTACCAAACCAGTTTCGGAGCACTTTTTATTTCTTACAATATTTATTAAAATTAAGAGTTATTTATTTAACCTATATTTTGAAATAATGCACATGGGCATACTTGAAATAACGCACAGGTCAATTAATTAACATGCAGGTGGGCGTTATTTTAGATTTATACGATAAGATACAATACTGGGATGATGAAATAAAAAAGCTTTTTAACAAACACTTTGCATACCGCTCTAATTAAAAAATAGAATATGGAACTGTTAAATTACCATCATTATCCTGGAGAGAAGGTAGAGCAATATGCTATGGATATGATGTCCCTGTTTGAACGTGTGGCTATTACAAGGCAGTATTCAGAAAAAATGAAAATTCAAATGTTTGTACAAGGTCTTCGTCCTGAATTAGCATCAGCAATTAGACCCTTCAAGTTTAATTCGCTTTATAAAGCTAGTGAACAAGCCCGAATGTGTAAAATGACATTTGCACGAGGATCTACCATGGCTTATCAGACCATAACAAATACTGTAACTCCCATACAAATGCTATGAATAACTTAACCTGTATCTTGTGCAACAAAAGACCTAATAGAGCAAATAGCTATATTATTACAAGAAATCATTTCAACAGTAAAAAGTAATGATAACGATAGCTATTGGCCAGAAGAAACTCAACAACCACCCAAAAGTCAAGCTTTAGTTGATCTTGGAGTTAATGGTCTAGTTGGAATTGGAATTAAAATAGATAAGCATAAGGCATCTACTTATTATCAAAGGTCATCAAAACCAGGTAATATTAATGATATAGTTAAAAATAAGGCAGATAGTCCCATGGATTTTGGTGAATTATAAGGAACAATACGATCCTAGATTCTGCTATAAGAATGGGATTAAAGTTGAAAGAGACGATTATAGGATACTTGAACAGAATTCTGATTTCAATAAAAGTGACAACCCAGGATTTGTTGAAAACCAAAGTTTGGACGAATGTTTGGTTTTTGAGAATCGTACACCAAATGAAATCGATGATAAAAGGCTAGAAGAAAATGTTGATAAGATAAATTTAAACAATGTTGAATATTGTTATGACAAGTGAATTGGAGTAAAAGACAATTGTAAAATATTTCGGTTTTATTTCTGACTTATCACAATGCTAATTCGAGTCATGTTCACTAATTCAATTATTTTTTTCTTAACACA